GATCCACGTAGCGCTGGCGTCTACAGGTTCGAACATGGACAAGCCTTGTTGCAAACAAGCTTGAGTCAGCCTTGCACTTTCCGTAAAAACTTCCAGCCCAGGCTTTGCCAAAAAATCGACGCCTAGCTTCCGCATCCAAAGAGGAGGGGGTGTTTGCCAAGGAAGTTCACGAAAACGGGAAGGGTGATCAGCTGGGTTGCTGTCCGTCTCCACCCAAAGGAAGCCCAGAACCATGCGTGACAAAATGAGGTACGGCAACGTCGATCGAAGAAGCCCGTTCAACCGAAAATAAGAGGACCTACCTTTTGTAAAGGCGCCCACCACCACTCTGCTATCGTTCAAAAAGAAATGCACCCGATCACGGGAAAGAGGAGCGCTGGCCAGCCGCACCACTTCTCGCTTCACTGCCCGTGCTTCTTGTAGGTTGATGTGAGCTGTGTGCCTAAAGTGATAGCTTGAAGCAATCCTCCACTGCAGACTTTCTCCTACTTGGCTAGCAAAGCGGGAAGGTTCACGCGGTTCTCTTCCCATGACCCAATCAAATTCAGAAGCATCGCGGTCTAGGCGGACGGCTTCGCCCCTAACCTCTGTGTGCTTCCACAACTTCTGAGCAAGGGCCTTTGACAGGCAAGCTTTTGTTGCTCCTCCTGAACTGGGCGTTGCATCCGTTGCTATGATCTCTTCCGCAAAAGAACGTCTCATATTCCAGCAACAAAATGGAAGGTGTAGCATCATTCCCCGCAGTTCATCTAATACAAAACCAGGAAACCTATACACCTTGTCGTCGGTCAGACTATCCAAGTACTTGTATACATGGTGTTGTAATGAAAAACATTCCCGTCGAAACTGGAAGCAAAAAGCAGCGTACCCCAGCAACCGTTGCAACAAGTTCTTAGTGCCCTTGCCCATCACTACCACCCGGCTAAAGAGATGCCACACTTGCCGACGGACCGCTATTGGCACGCCGGCTGTGCCTTTCACACCATCTATCTCTGCTCCCCATGCTTTGAAGTTCAGCTCAGCTCGAAAAGACTTACGCAAAGCTCGCTCCAAGCCGGCGTGCTCATAAGCTAACTCTGCTGCTCTCACTTGCCGCATGTCCGGATCCGAAGGTCGCGGCTCTGGAGGTTCAAAAGAGCCATCCACTTCCACATCTCTTCCTGCTTTCACGCGACCAATCACTAGTAGGTCATCCAGGTAGGCCCCTTCCAGCGTGGGTCCATCAGGCAGGTGGCGTCCATAGACCATTTTTGACTGGGGGGAAAGGAGACCATGCTGCTCCAACACGTATTCGTGAACTGCTTGCGCAATATCGCAGGCATTTGAATCTCCCATACCCAAGACTCGCATAGCTGCTCGATGCGGAACAGAGGGGTCTTTTCCCAGGGAAGCGACCAATTTGGGGTCAACCCTACGACCTACAGCATTGAACTTATAGGCATTCTGTGGGAGAGCCAAAGAAAAATAGTACGTTCTCAAGTCATCTCCCGAGCCACGAAGGAACTCGTCAGGCTCCAGAAGCAGCTTTGCCAGGCAGGCTCCGGCCGGGAGATGAGCCCAATCCAAGCGCTGCATCATAGCATTGGCTGGCCGCCTATCAAAGATCAACCGGTCTTCGACATTGTTCTTTCGAACGCAGAAAAAGCCACCAACCAACAATCTACCATCCGCAGTGCGCTCTAGCTCGTCCTCCGACACCAGGGTGATCATTTGCGCAGCTAACAAGCGCTGGATCAACTTCTTTTCCTCCTTCTCAGACACCTGGTGACAGGGACGCGCAGGCCCTCCTCCCAAAGGTTCTGCCAAACAAAGCTGCCCCAAGTCTTCTACCACACTTCTCCTTTCTGGTGGCAACCAGGCCAGCGGGTCAACTGATCCGGCCTTCGCTGGGATTGCCACACGTTCAGACACCACCGGAATGGCGACATTCAGCTTCCGGGCAAGTCTCCCGGATTCTTCGCCTGCACCTGAACATGCATCCATCTTCTGCAAGCTCGTCAAAGCCTCATCCACAACGGAACGGCTACCACCAAAGCTCACCGATTCTGTACAAAAACCTACATCGATGAATTCGACCACCTCGCCAAGCAAGCTCATGCAAAGTGTGTGCACTTCAGCAGACTTTACAAAGCCTCCTCGCGGCTCTCTAGTCTTCCCCCGACAATCAGGGCAACCCAGGACGATGTAGTTAGACCACGCTACCCAAAAATTCAAGTAAGCTTTGGCCCAATGCAACCGTCTCGCTTCGCCAGCGATTGCCTCCCCACTGACTTTGAAAGCCTCGGGGAACGGCAAGGAGCAAGGGAAAAGTGGTGCTTGTTCAACATAGCCAGTCAGAACCGGCTCGCTACTGTGGACACTCTTCTGCCAGTCAAAGAACTTCAAAAACTTTGAATTCCTCCCCCGTTCCCAGGGAAAACGCATGCACTTTGTAGGGCTCACTCTTGGTCTTCCTTCGTCTCGGCGCTCTGGTGCGCCTCTTTGACATGCTTCCTGACCTTGGATAATGCTCGGACATAGCCGCTGACGATCGACATCTCTTCCCGCGTTCCCGCCCATTCGCGGCGAAGCAGCGGGTCTTGCAGGCCTGTCAGCAACCATGCTGTGGACCAATCTCCTCCGGCCAAGCAGCACTGGATCTTGGCTTTGATGTTCTGAGTCAACTGGGCAGCTGCCGCTGCTTCGTCGCCGCCTCTCAAGAACTCGTACACAGCCACGTCCATCATAGTCGCCCGGTACAGCCCCTTGAACTTGCCGAAGTTCTGCTTCCGAACCCACTCTTTTACACTCCAAGCTTGTCCTGGGACTACCCCAAGCTCTTCCACGATTGTCTTTTCGAATTCCCGAATCAATCGTTTCGGGTGACGGGTAATCCGCCGATGCATGTGGTTCAAGGCGTCGACTGCCTTCAACCCACCGGCCTCTTCGTCCTCCGTCTCGCTTGAGGTGTCGGAGCCGGAACCACCAAGGGACCTGCCCTTCTTTCTGCTTCGCTTCTTCTTTTCCTCGGCCGCCTTGTCTTGCTTCATCATGTAGGCCATCATCATCATGGGAAGGAGCTGAGTGGCGTCCGCGCCGGAAGCGACTGCTTGCCCCATCACTTCTTCGAGACCGGGCGGATTGTCTCGCTTCGACTTGCTGCTGGACGCAGCTGAGTCCTTCTTCGAAGGCTTCTTTAACGCACTCGCACCTGGAGCCAAGTGCTTGCGAGAACGGGGGGGAAGCTCTTCTTCTGTCTCTTCTTCGCTGCTTTCGTCTTCGCTGCTGCCCCCCCCCGACTTTCCCCACAGGTCCTGCTGCATTCGCTGCAGCTCCTCCGCTAAACCAGACGGCTGACTTTTGCGACCGCCAGCCGCCGCCATTGAGGTTTTCACTTTTTTGGGTTGCATAGCCGGGGACTGCACCTCGGCTTCGCTGCTTTCCAGTGCCATTTCTTTCGACACCTTGTCCCATAGTGGGAGAGCTTCGTCTAACTCTGGAGCAGAGCCTCCGACGACTGACCCCCACCCAGGTGGAGTTTTTGTGCTGGCAGCAGAGAGTGGAACTTTCAAAAAAGTGAGACGCTTGCCTTCCTCGCCGGCCTCTATCTTTTGGTCGAGGTGACGGCCAATTGAGCTCTGACAGGCCAAGACGACCACTCCTAAGTCTCCATCCACCTCCACCGCACGGCCGCGGACTCTCACAAGTCCCTGGTTTCCTCGGCAGCTAACGAACACTACGTCACCACCCACCACCATGGCGCCTAGCCCTGACAACTTGAGCCCCGTTCATGAAGGGCATCGAAATCTGATCGACTTCACGTTCGTTGTTGAATTATTGGTGCATTCTGTAGAGTGTGTGTTTGTATATGCGTGGTCACAAAACCTGTTCCAAACTTGTTCCAAAAATTTGTTCCATAATGTTCCTTTTATATTTATACATATATATATATATATATCGATCTATAAAGGCTCAAGCTTCCTGAACTTGAGGCGAGCAGGGCCGACGTGTGCACACGACCAGCCCTCCAAAAAACATCGCGCGAACGCCAAAATCTTCAGGCGAACAGCAAAGTCTTCGGGCGAACGGTGGCCTCAGATTTCGTCCAAACCAAGCACCAAACACACACACATTTACTAAAAATATGCCTGCCATGAAAAGTGTAAGTATCGTGATTTGTTGTGTGACTGGAGTGGCGCAAAAGACTTCGCGCGAACGACACTGACACGTGTGCCCACAAAACAAGACTCACTCTTTTGCAGTGCACTCTTGCTTGACACTCTTGCATGTGACAACTGTGACGCTCTTGTGTGACACTGAAAGTTGTCGTGTGTAGGGAAAGTTGTCCTTAGTACAACTTCAGACCCTAACGGCGGTTGGCCGGCTCAACCGGCGGTTTCCCGGTTGGCCGGTTCAACCGGCGGTTGATCCGGT